GGTGGTTCAAACTCACCAGCCACTCCTTGGAAGGAAGGTTGGGCAATCTACTTCCGTAGTGATACTGCCTCGGAAACCCAAGAAGGGGTCACTATGAATTGGATCCAACTTGAGGCAGTGTTTTGAATGCTAACCAAAAGGCTGGAGGTTCAAGTCCACTTGGAGGAACCTCAGAAGAAAGTCCTGGCAATACACTTCTGAAAAATCAGCCATGGAAAACCCTATGGGTTTCCACTCTACTCAGATGCACATGGGGTTACCATGAATCAGAATCAACTCAAAAGTAGCTGGTTATACAGAGTCTCCAGAAGGCACAACAGATCTGCTGTACCCCCAGACATTTTCAAACATATATATTGGAACTTACATATGTGTTAGAACCAAAGTTTGCACCCAGTGTCCCCTTAGTGTAATCTGTACCAACTTTGGAAAGAAGTCACAGTACTGCCTACACTCAAACCCGATTTAGGCTGTTAGAGACCTCTCTTTGTGCCACCATAATATGGAGACTGATTTGGGGACCTAGGCTATCTTATTTGGAATCTATGAATCTCTTCCATGGAGGTAACAATAATACTAGTCAGGTTTCTTCCAACCCATCTGAGTAAACTACATTTACTATATCTGCAAACTGTATGAGTAGTGCAAAATGCTAGAATAAACGAGAAAATGGAAATTCAGTACTAGTAAGGGTGGCACAGAAGCACCCCTGGTGGCACAGTGCTTAAATCCTCACCTGCTAGCTGAAAGGTGAGTGGTTCAAACCCACCAGCTGGCTCTGCAGGAGAAAGATGAGGCAATCTGCTTCTGTAAAGATTTACAGCCTTTTAAACTCTCTGGAGCAGTTCTATTTTGCCCTATAGGGTCACTATGAGTCAAAATAGACTCAATGGCAATGGGTTTTTTGTTTTGTTTTGTTTTGTTTTTATGGGTTGCAAAAAGCACTAAACTACTAGCTGGAAGGATAATGGTTCAAGCTATCTAGAGGCTCATTGGAAGACAGGCCTGGTGATCAGCTTCCAAAAGATCTCAGCCTTGCAAACTCTATGGAGCAGTTGTACTCTGCACACATAGGATCACCATGAGTCGGAATTGAGTCAACTTGATGGCAACTAACAACAACGGGAGCTAGTGATAATAAAAAGGCTTTACATCCTCTTCTGTCTCTGCCTCCTACTTTGAGACCATCACTGAGTGAAGTAACAGCTTCTCCCTGAGTTCAAGCGATGGCATTGCTGTCCTGAAATTGCTATTAGTTGATGGTGGTTTTGCATCAAATGAAATTTGCTCAAATAATCAACTAGTATTATTTGGGATTGAAGGAAGACTCCCTAAATCCAAGTAATAATTGATCAAAGCAGTGCCAGTCCTATTCACAAAGGGATTCCTTTTTTAGCAATTTGTAGTAATTTTCAAAGTTACTAGCCAATAAAGCAGGAGCTGTTAAATTCATTAGTAGTGATAGCCACTGGAAATTATTTCCATCTCATTTTATAGCCACTTAATAAAACATATAATTTGTTCTGAAATGTATGTTCTAAGTAGAATGATTAATATTCTTCTTGTTGCTAGAACATCTAGAACAAAATCTATTTGGCCTCTTTCACCACTAAGAACATAACACGTAGATAATTTTCCTCTTAAAAACTAAAATAAGAAAGTTTTCTACTTTAATTGGTACTAAAATCACTGAAATTCCAATCTTAAAATTCCATTAAACAACTTTAATGAAGATCATTACCATTAGATTCATGTAAAATCATCTTTTCAATATGTTTCTTCTTTGTTCCCATTTTTGTAAAGGAGAAAGGTATGAAGGTAAGAATTTGTTAGTTGCATATTTCACAAAAATAGCATGTGGCAAGCCATTGAACAGGTAGGGGACAGTGAATAGCTCATTGTTGAAATGCTAGTGGGAAACTGCTCCTCTGTGCTCTCATTAATGAGTATGATGGTGCCTGCATTTAATGATACTATTTGATGATAGAAAAATAACTTCAAAAAGGACATGATGACAGTTCTGTGGTTGTTTGGTAGCTACTTCAAACTTTTTGAAAGATTTAGTTTTGGTTCTTTGTATCCTGTTTTTCTTGAAGATCAAAGTGTCTGTATCTTCGGGAGGTGACTGCATTCGAACGTACAAGCCGGAAATCAAGAAAGGAAGCTACAATAATATCATTATCAATGTCAAGACAGAGGTGGCTGACAATCTTCTTTTTTATCTTGGAAGTGCCAAATTTGTAAGTCTAATATTCAGTTTTTCTTTGGGTCCTCTGTATGTGTGTAAAAACACATACAACACACACACGCACACACACAGCCTTGGATTTGATTCTGACCCATAGCGACACTTTAAGACAGAGTAGAACTGCCCCATAGGGTTTCCAAGGCTCTAAATCTTCATAGAAGCAAACTGTTTCATCTTTCATGGAGTAGCTGGTGGGTTTGAACTGCTGACTTTTTAGTTAGCAGGCGAAGGCTTTAACCAGAATAATTCCTAAAGTAGGGAAAATTCATAGAATCCAAGAACATAGGCCCCAAATCATCTAACATAGCATTTCAGAAATGAAAACCTTTAAGTTTACCTCAGAAAATTCTGAAATGTCAAATGACTTCTTTTCTATAGAATTTAAAGACATTTACTTTAATTTGTTAGTATGCTAGTATTTATTTTTTTAAAATTATATTTTTAGATCCAGCCATTAAGAAGAAAGAAGGTTTTTTGTTTGTTTGTCTTTTTACTTTTCTCATGCAAAGAATTAAATAACTTTAAATATACTTTCTTGTTAATGTAATGACAGTGGCAAATTGTGTACTAATCTCTTACCAAAATAAGCTCTTTGAATTCATGGTGAATTTATGAGCCAAATGGATATACCAGAAGTTGTGTCGACAGAAGCCCACCTAAAAAGTACCAGTTCCTTCCTCTGGCATCATAAGACTTTGATCCATGGGGATGTTCCAAGTAAATCAGATTTTTCAATAGTCAAGCTATCAGTCAATATTTGCTATTGAATGAGGAATAAAAAAAGTGTATAGTATACACTCAAAAATATCAGTGTCCTTGCTAAAAACAATGAATTGTTAATTCAAATATTGCTTTTATTTTTTACTACAAGTATGAGAGTGAGAAGACTTTTGTCTCAAAGTCAGACCTAACTAGAATTGGTAAAATTAACATATATGGCTCTGTGGCATGGACCTATATGCTTCCTTCAGCTACAGTGGTAAAGTATCAATTTAATCATACATAATAACATAGCATATCATTTGGAGAGTCCTATTCTGAGACTTCCAGTTACTTAACATATCTGTAATGGCACCAGTCAAAAAGAACTTGACTAGCCTCCCCTTTCAGGATGGTTTATATGTGATATTCATCATTTTTGTGATTCTCTGCACTAGATTGACTTTCTGGCTATAGAAATGCGTAAAGGCAAAGTAAGTTTCCTCTGGGATGTTGGATCTGGAGTTGGACGTGTAGAATATCCAGATTTGACCATTGATGACTCATATTGGTACCGTATTGAAGCATCAAGGTAACTAATTCAATAAAGATTAAGATAAATATAACAGAACTTTGAAGTAGTTTTCCAGTTGATAAGAAAACTCTTACTTTAATTTCATGAGGTGGCTGATATTCCTGTAGGTTCATACATGTGAAAAAAATACACATACACACAAACACGTATGTGGGAGAAAATGGTATTTTGGGAGTGCCTATTAGTAACTGACAGACCTTCAAGGTATTGACCAGAGTGATAAGTCCATTCCTGATCCCTGCATGTGGTGTCCTGTGGGAATTCAGGCACTGAAACTGTTTTTAGGCATCCTCTCTCATCTGAAAAAGTCTCTGATGCTCACCCTTATTCAACACAAGTCCGAGCATAAGAGATTCAATTGTTGCCTATCATTGGTGTGTACTGCTTCCTCTCTTGTCTACATAATGACATGGCTTGCAGGCATATGCTATATGAAAATGCTGCATGAATATGTAACATGTTAGGTCCCTACACTACCTAACATGGAAAGGCAATCTACTTCCCTAGTGATACCGCCTCAGAAACCCAAGGAGGGGTCACTATGGGTCGGTGCAACTCGACGGCACACAGCAACAACAAGAACGATATGTTATATGTTATCCAAGCTCAAATATCCCAGAAATTATCTTAATAAATTTCATCTGTACCTGATAACAAATTTTGACCATATCAAATAATTTTTCTTTTAATAAACTTTTTTAAAAGAGAGAGCTATTACAGCCTAGAAATTCTACTCTTGTCACATGGGCTCACTCTGAGTCAAAAATGGACTCAATGGCAACAACAGGAGTGAGAAGCAGTATTTCCAATTCCTTTTGAAGATCATCAGCAGAAGTGTGTGTGTGAGAAAGCGACAGAGAGAGAGAGAGAGAGAGAGAGAGAGAGAGATAGAAATGCTGGGGAGTGATGGTGTTGGAGGAATTAAGTACTTTACTAATAAGGACATTTATGCTCCACAGAGTACAGTTCTAAAAGAAAAACATTCTGTTAAAGAAGATGAACCTATTTGAATAAATCCTTTCAATTGTTTTCATGTAATTCATTTAGTACCGCACACAAAAAGAAAAAAAAAAGTGCTAGAATGACACAGCATGAAAAAAATATGACACTGAAATTTTGTTGTGACTGCTTCCCTTAGAAGAGGGAGCACATTTTCATCTTTAACAATCCATGGAAATCAATCACTTGAAAAAAGAAAATGAAGTAAAATGACAGTAGCTTTCAAAATTCTATTAATTGAATTTAAAAGTGAAATTCTTCTATACAATTTGTACATACAACTCTGGAGATTAGATTCTACTTTATATACTTTAAGATGGTGTGCCAAACAGTAAAAGACAGTACAATTCCAGGAAGACGACATCAGCAAATCTGGATCCAAGATGTAATAAAGAGTTTTAGGGAAAATTATACAGCTTACAACGCAGAATAAAATTCTTTCAGGGATCACTTGCTAAACTAAACTAAACAGCATGCTAAATTAAGTGATACCGTTTAAGTGGCATGTGTTGGTAAATGCTGAATTATTAGGTAAAGCAACAGGAAGAAGGCTTTCTCTACTTAACCAACAGCAATTCCATCAGCTAATTGCTGCTGTTGTCATTTCCATGAATGGATGCCCATAGGATCAGCCCATGTTTTTTTCTGGCATTCTGGTAGCATAGTGCCTAAGGCATTTGACTGCTAACCAGAAGGCTGGTAGTTCAAACCTACCAGCCACTCCTTGGAAGGAAGGTTGGGCAATCTACTTCCATAGTGATACCGCCTCGGAAACCCAAGGAGGGGTTTCTATGAGTCGGATACGACTCTACGGCAGTGGGTTGGGTTTGGTTTTGATTGGCTGAGTCTGAACACAAATCTCCAGTGGAGATCAGATTCTGGGTTGTGATTTGAGATTTAATGAATCTGAAATGTTTGAAGCTAAAAATCAACTTGTTTCTTAAATATTCTAAAAGAAGTCTGTTCACTTTATAGCTTTTAAATTCACAGTTTGTAGAAATGTGATATGTTTAATTTTCTTCATTTCCTTTCCCTTCACTTCAACACATATCTCTGGAAGAACTGGGAGAAATGGAACAATTTCTGTGAGAGCGCTGGATGGACCCAAAGCCAGCATTGTGCCCAGTACCTACAATGCAGTCTCTCCCCCCGGGTATACTATTTTAGATGTGGATGCAAACGCAATGCTGTTCGTTGGTGGCTTGACTGAGAAATTAAAGGTAATGTGCTCTTGCCCATCCTGTTTATTTCATCTTTCTAGAAAGACAGCTCCTAACATTGATTACTCTGGGAAAAGGCAGGAAAAAGCTCTCCAAAGACTTGGCCACTTTTTACTTCACTTGTGATTCTCAAAACTGTGTTACTCAAAAACATGAATTTATTTGGAGTAAAAATTATGTTCCTTGAATTTCAATCCAGAAACACATTATTTTTAAGCCTAAATATATTTACCTTAAACAGTTGCCACTTTGCCCTTATTTGTGACATTTTTTGATAATCTCATTTAAGTCACTTCCAGAGTGAAGTGGTTTTTTTTGTTTTAAATATACCTCATTCTCTGAATTAATTTGTGATTTATAGATATGAAGTGTGATAAAGTTCATAGTCACATCTAATTAAAAGATTTATGAATACCTTGGGAAATATCATAGGAGCCATAAGCTTTCAAATCATGATCTGGTTTTAAAAGTTTGCAAGTTGTGCTTCTCCTCATTCTTATAGGATAATGCACTTAATATTCATAATTGCTTCATGACAAGTCCTTGTGCATTTCAAATTACAAAGTGCCTACATTTTAAAGGAGCTCATGTTGATTAAATAGAATTAGATGTTGGAAATGACCTGGGGGTGAGATATAAGAGCATAGCCAAATATAATGGATAATCCTGGGCTTGTCAGAATCATCCTGGGATGAGATTAGTCAGAAAATGTGAAAAGCCAGGGTGACCCCAAATTTATGAGAACTCAACCTTCATAAAGAGTTAGGTTATTTTATTTGCTTTGTGTACGAGATGTGACTCTAAAGTATTGGAACTGATTCCACAACTACACACTGAAGTCATTCTCATTTCTTAGAACTGCTTATAAATATATACGGTTCATAGTAATATATAGTCATATCATCCACTTCCCCCCTTCCCCAGAAAGATAAATATAGAGGTTGCACAGCATAATGATGAATCTTGAAATCAAATCCAGGTTGGATTCTTTACTTTAGTATTGACTGAAATAGGACCATTGGCAAGTCACTTAACCTTTTGGGCTTCAGTTTTCTCAACTAGCAAAGGCAAATAAAAATATCTCTTTTGCTTGCCTATTGTAGGATACAGTAACAAACGTTTATAACATTTATGTGAAGGCTGGAGGTTCAAACCCACCAGCCATTCCTTGGAAAGCAGATGGGGCAATCCACTTCCACAGTGATACAGCCTTAGAAACCCAAGGAGGGGTCGCTATGGGTCAGATCCGACTTGATGGCAGTGAGTTATAACATTTATGTAGCTCTGATGAAGTGCCAAATACAATTTTAAGTAATTTATAAGAACTAATTTACTTAATTCTCAAAGTAGGAGGTCTCACACTCCCCAGTCTCAAAACCTTCTATACAGCCACAGTAATCAATGATAGACCCATAGACCAGGAGACCAGAATTGAGAATACAGAAATATCCATCTACCTATGGAAAGCTGATCTTTGACTAATGGCCAGAAATAATTTAATGAAAAGAGATAGTTGTGGTAGTTGAGTTTGTGGGTCAGTTTGGCTAGGCCTAGGTGAGTGCCTGGGCAGCTGGATGTAGTTATTCCCCATGGTGAGATTGGTAATTAACTCCATGGTGGAATCTATTTGAGCAGCTTAGTAGCTGCTTTAGGGATGTGGTCTGCTTCCAGTATATAAAAAGCAGCTTGAAGAAAGGTCTCCAGCTAATGGCATGCTTGAACCCTGCATGTAACTGGATCATTATTCAGCAGCCTGCCATGTTGTCTTGCCTATCTTGGCGCTTTTAATGGACTTGAGTTAATGGCCTGCCATGTGGTTTGGTAATGTCAGGACTATGCCTTTTGTTTTTTTATTATTTTATTTTATTTTTAGAGCTTGTTTTACATTCAATGTTACATGTACATTTAGCTTCATTCCCTGTCTACCATGTCCAACCCTGACCCAGTCTCCTCCCCTCCCTCCCCTGAAACCCTGCCTCTGTGCCCCTCATATTTATGCACTCCTGTATATCCGACATTTCCTCAATTTGAATGTTGGTCATCTGGTGCCCCATGGTATATTGCTCTAAGGGATGTAGTACCATAGAGTATGTGGGTGCATCATCCTGGGTTGAGTGGTCTTTGTGTACATCATGTTAACTATTGGGCTGAGAGCCAGCCCCTGAGGTTGCATTTTATTCCAGGCACAGAATGTATTCCAGGGGCACAGTATTGGGGGTCTCACCAGATTTCATCTGACCAGTAATTCTGGTCATTATTGAGTTTTTGGATTTTGTTATACATTTTTTCTCCCACTCTATCCAGGATCTCCAGATTTAATCCTTTTCTGAGTGTTGGCATTGGTAGCTGGGCACCATCTAGTTCTGGTCTCAAGGGCTATCATGTCCTAGGGCTAATTGCTTCCAAATCTTCCAAATGCCTTTTGTTTGTTTGTTTGTTTGTTTGTTTTTGTTTTTGTTTTGTTTTGTTTGCATTCTTCTTTGCTTCCGATGCTAGGAGACCATTAGCTGCATCTTAGATGGCTGCTTGAAAGCTTTTAAGACTCCAGTTGCTACTCACCAATGTGGGATGTGGAACAAGGCTTTTATGTATTTTGTTGTGCCAATTGAGTCTGGTGTCCCCCAGTACTATGGTCCTGAGATGGTAGCCTTTTCACATGTCGACCTTGGTTTTGTCAGCCTCAGCAGCTAGTAGCTGCCTGAGTGAAGAGATGCCTCTAGCTTCAGTGGGCCAGGAGGAAGAAGCAGAGCTGAAGCCCAAGGTTGAGGGGCTTTCACCCAACCCCTAGAGCCTGGCACCTAGAACTCGGACTTCTAACCTCCAAAATTGTAAGAGAATAAACTCTTGTTTGTTAAAGCCACCCTATTTGTGATATTTCTGTTAGAGTAACACTAGCTTTCCAAAACAATAGTCTTTTACAAAATGGTACTGGCAAAACTGGCCATCCATTTGCAGAAAAATGAAACAAGACCCATACCTCACACCATACAGAAAAATGAACTCAATATGGATCAAAAACCTTAATGTAAAACCCAAAACCATAAAGTTCATCAAAGATAAAATAGGGGAAAACTTAAGGGCCCTAATTTGTTTCATAAATAGACTATCAAGTATAACCCAAAATGTATAAATAGCAGAAGATAAACTAGATGAGTGGGACTTTCTGAAAATTAAATTCTTCTGTGAATTGAAAGATTTCTCCAAACAATGGAAAAAAAACAAACTTACAGATTGGGAGAATATGCTTGGCAATGACATATCTGACAAAGGACCTATCTCTAAAATTTATACAAAACTCCAACACCTCAACATCAAAAATACAAACAATCCAATTCAAAAATGGGCAAAGGACATGAACATACACTTCACCAAAGAAGATATTCAGATAACACATGAAGAAATGCTTGCTATCATTAGCCATTAGAGAGATGCAAATCAAAACAATTAGGTGTCAGCTCACCCCAGGACTAGTAGCAAAGTTCAATAAGACACAAAACAACAAATGCTGGTGAGGGTGTGGAGAGATTGGAATTCCCATACACTGCTGGTGGGACTGTAAAATGATAAAACTACTATGACAAATGGTATGGCATCTCCTTAAAAAATTAGAAATAGAAATGCCATTTGATTCAGCAATCCCACCACTAGGATATGTTCTAAAGAGGTGAGATCTGGAACACAAATAGATATTTGCACATCAATGTCCATCACAGCACTATATACAATAGCGAAGAGATGGAAACAATCTAAGTGCCCATGAACAGAATACTATACAACATTAAACAATAGCAAAGATTCAGCAAATCACCTTAAAATATGGATGTAATTGGAGGATGTTATGCTGAGTGAAATAAGTCAATCACAAGAGGACAAAAATTGTATGAGTCTGTTATTATAAAATATCAAGGAAACATTTACACAGGGAAGGAAATTCTCTTTGTTAATTACCAGGGATAGAAAAGGAAGTAAGGAAAGGGGGAAAAGATGCATATTTAAGAGGCAGATGTTGATATGGGTGAAGAGAAAGGCAACATAATAAAATTGTGACTAGCACAATATCACTAAAGAAAAGGAAAACCTACAGAAAGGCACAAGAGGTATAGACAATAAAGGTAAATACTATTGCATACACAATACTTCATTGTCAGTAATAGCAAACACTAATCTGTAGGTAGATACATAAGTAGACAGGCAAGAAGATCAAGTATGGATAAGCAAATGGGAATATATCCACAACCATACATAGGTTCTAAAAACCAAACCAAACTCACTGCCGTCTAGTTGATTCCACTCATACTGACCCCCTCCTTGGGTTTCCGAAGCAGTATCTCTACGGAAGCAGATTGCCCAATATTCCTTCCGAGGAGTGGCTGGTGGGTTTGAACTTCAGCCTTCTGGTTAGCAGTCAAATGCCTTAGGCACTGTGCCACCAGAGCTCCCATATAGATTGGGCAGAAAGATGATATTCCTACATACATATTTATATGTGTTATAAAAATCTCCATGTGCAGTATAAAGCTAATAGAGGGTAAAGTTAGGATAACTTCTTAGCCATAACTAAGCACCTGGAAGGAATGAGTTCACTGGGTTTACGGGCTGGGGAAGATGTTTGCAGGGGACATCAAGCTCAATTGGTATAACATACTACACAAAAATATTTTTCTACATCTTATTTTGGTGAATAGCAACCGTGGTCTTAAAAAGCTTGCTAGCAGTCATATAAGAAGGAGCTCTGCTCGTGTAATGCCTAAGGCATTTGACTGCTAACCACAAGTCTGGCAGTACAAACCCACCAGCCACTCCTTGGGAGGAAGGTTGGGCAATCTACTTCCACAGTGATACAACCTCGGAAACCTAAGGAGGGGTCACTATGAGTCAGATCTAACTCCACAGCAGTGAGTTTTGTGGGGTTTTTTGGTTTGTTTTGTTTTGATATATTGGTCTCTCCTCACCTGGAGCAAAAAAAGAGTGAAGGAAATCAAAGATGCATGGAAATAGTCCAAAGGGCTAATAGACCATGGGAACCTCAGCCTCTATGACTCTGAGACCAGAAGAACTAGATGATGCCTGGCTACCAATGCCAACCACTCAGAAAGGGATCAAAATTGGAGATTCTAGAGAGAGTTGGAGAAAAATGTGGAACAAAATTAAAAAACAAAAAAGACCAGGTTCACTGGTTTGTTAGAGACTGGTGAAACCCCTAAAAGTATAGCCCCAGTTATCCTTCAGGCCCGGAATTTGGCTTAACAGTCAACCAAACAATAGACAGGTCAACAAGACAACTACACCGGAAAGATACACTCCTTAGAACAATCAACCACAGGAGATCAGAATGGTAGCATTTGCCCCGGGAGAAAGGTAGGGAAACAGGAATGCATTGCCAAGAAGGACACAGGGCAAGGGTAACCACAGGGAGGAAGTGGGAGGAGAGCCGTTACACTGCAGGGAGTGTAATCAGTGCCACAAAACAAAATGAGTATGAACTGTTGTTGAATATAAAACAAATCTGCTTTGTATAATTTCACCCAAATCACAATGAAAAGTTTAAAAAATAATAATAATTAATTTTCTTAATTCTCACAATAATCCCAAAAGGTATGTAGTAATATTGTCTCCATTTTATATTTAAGGAAACTGAGGCACATAAAACGTAAGTTACTTGACCAACGTCACACAGCTAGTTAAAGGTGGAGCTGGAATTCAAACACAGGAAAACCAGCACAAGAGTCTCTAGTCTTTACCAGGTGTTATCTTTGTTTATTGCCACAATGAATAGTGAGATCATGTGTATAAAATGCCTGAGATACGGTAGTAGTTACACCTTAAATCTCAAGAATGATTACACAAACATCACTGGTACAAAGCAGCTTTCCATTATCAGTCTCAGAGAAAGAGAAGACATAGACAAATGAAATCTATAGAAAATCTTTACATATCATTTTGTCCAAGAATTCCAAGGCTTCTGCCATACTAGAATATGAAACACAAGCTGAAGACAAGTAACTCAATGAAGTTGCTGATAAAAATTCAAATTAGCAGGAATATATCCCAAGTAGAGACTTTCAGAATGAAAAACAGAGAAGCATAAATCAAGTAAAACCCAAAAGTAGGATAATTAACCTCTGGAAAATTAAGAGAGGCTTCCAGTGATGACGGAGCACTGCATGGACCATTCTGACTTTTAAATGTCAGTAGCTGTAATCAACATTCTTTGTGAATAGCAAAGATATAACTAAAAAAGTTTAACTATTCAGTCACCAGCTTCTTGCATTCTTCTAGAACTCAAACATGTTGAATCACTTTTTTCCTCAAGATTATTCAGACAGATATGGATTAGCTTTTGCAGTTTCTAAATGTATAAGGCACTAGCCTGCAGTATTTATTTGTCATATGTAAATGTCAAAATTAGCGCTATTTCTTTTACAAGAGGGTCTGCTGTAGAATAGGACATTACATTGCTTCATGATGGTGTCATGTATTAACTTTCAGATCTTTCCAGGTAAGAATGATACCAGGATTGTCATTCAACAAATATTTATTGGTCTCTTATTAGAAAAATGTAGCAGTCTGCTTCCATAAAGATTATAACCTTCAAAACTCTCTGGGGACAATTCTACTGTGTCCCAGAGGGTTGCTATGTGTCAGGATTGATTGAACTGCAACAGATATTTCGTGATTAGATACCAAGCCCTATGCTGTGTTTACCAACAAACGATACCAACAAAGTCCTTTTGCTACAAAATTAGCCATTTTCCCTTCATTCTCATGAACTGGAAGATTTCTTGAATGTAAAAGAAAATAAAAATTTAGGGCAGCACTAATTTAGGAAAATTTATGCCCCCCCTTCATTTGTGTATCCTTTCTCATGATCTTTAGAGAAAAATCTTAATATATTCCATTGCCCAGATTTGCCTAAAGAGAAGAACAAAGGAACAATAACTTTTATTAAACACCTTCTCTGTGCCAGATGCTGTATTGAATACCATCAATAAATTATCTAATTTTCACAAATGAAAATGTTAAAGCTCAAAAAAGACAAGCAGCTCACTAAGTAACAAGCTAGGGAAGTGTTTATTAGTAGTGATAACCTGCTATAGCACAAAATAACCAGCATCAGGTCACGCAGTGTTTGAGCTTTTTCCCTTTGTTGACCCATTCTGTAGTAGCTATGGGGATGCAAATGGTTAAAAGTCAAATATGTTTAAGCTAAGAAAATCCAAAAGAATGGACAGTCACTACTTCAGATTCTGCTGCTAATAACTCTCATGGGCACTCCAAGATTATTTTTGAAACGCTAAATTCTGGCAAACATAATATTTCTCTGCAGAAAGCTGATGCTGTACGTGTGACCACATTCACTGGCTGCATGGGAGAGACCTACTTTGACAGTAAGCCTATCGGCTTGTGGAATTTTCGAGAGAAAGAAGGTGACTGCAAAGGATGTACAGTCAGGTTAGTTAAGATGATGACTCTCCCAAGGTCTCTCCTGTCCCACAAAAGTTTTCCTTTTATTGTGCAATATTTTATATAATGTAGATGGTGTAGAATAGGTTTGAAGTGACTATATTCAAATGTAGATTTACCAAGAAGCTAATGAGACTTCAAATTCCCACCCTCATTGTGCAGGCACTCCCAAGGCTCTAGGAGATATGCTGGCAGTGTTTTATATGGCCATAAGTTTCTGTAAAGTTTACAGATATTTTCACTTCAATTAGCTAAGACCATTATCTCTTTCCACTGTTTGTGTTCAGCAGGTTTTGCGTGTCCATGGGTAGCTTCTAGTCATCTTTTCTTTTTTTCTCTCCTAATAAAAGGCCTCTTTAAACTGATTAAGCTGATTAGGATTCTTACTGTTTTTGTGAGCCCTCTAATTACAAAATTGCATAGGTTTTGAGTGATCTATCCCAACCCCAGCTCTGGTATTTGTAAATTTTTTTTTTTTTTTACATAATTCTAGTTGTGTTTTGTTTGTCTATTTGCTTGTTTCAGAGGAATATGTATCACACTTTAACATAAAGGCCAGTCATTACAGTTAAAGAACTGACATGATTACATGAGGGAGATGTCCAACATGAGGCTACAACAGTAGACTGGGAATATTTCATAGAAAATCTTTGAATGTCAGTTTTAGAAATTTGTATTTACTCAACAGTTGGTAGAAAAGATGCAATTGTTGGCAAGATTTAGAACAATTAATCTGTCAGTTGTATAAAAAAGAAATATATCTTATTCCTTATACTTCCAAGAATCACATTAAGACTAAAATAGGGGGAAAAACAGAACTGCTATAAGTAAAACATATTTAGCTCAGCATTAAAATTATAATGAATTTTTAATATCTTAAACCCCAATATGCATCTATTAATATAGTTCATAGGTTATATGTGGAAGAGTATGGCTATTTCAGAATAATGTCATTAATCCTTACTTACCTAACCAGATGTCAAGGTTCAAAAGAGAACCAAGAGAACAATTAAGAAACTTAGCATTTATGAATAAAATATAGTTCCTTTTCTTGGAAAATGTATTCAAAATGGATGTGAAAATTCTAATATGATGTTCGATGTTGAAATATATATTATATCTCAAAGGACTCATCTTTTATCCAATCTCAAGGTCACCAATTCAAATCTAGACTTACCTGGCCATGACTCCTATCAACTACTGAGTGAAAGTAGTTTGATCAGCATTCGTATGGTTAGATGTTCCTAGCACAAAACTCTTTCCCACAGATCTGCTGTTTGTTGGAATAGGGGAATTTCCTATAGTGTTGGATTCAGAAAGGTCCTTACAAATTATTCTGTGATCAAACCCTTTCATCTCATAGTTGAGAACCTGAGAACTGAAGTGTTCAGGGAAAGTAACACAGGTCCTTGGTGACATTCCACATCAGACTCCAGAGTATCCGTCACTACTGTTTTTCTATTCTGCTTTGAGGGATTAATAGATTTGGAACATAAAAATATCAGGTTATAAATGTTGCAGGGATGTATTCAGGAAAAAATATCCATAAAAATATGTAGGTATATTATTATTATTATCACTGTGCTTATCATGGCATTGCAAAATGGCATTTTAGGTTTTGTTTGCTTTTTACATTAGTAAATAGCACTGTTTGGAGGCAAAGAATCTGGGGTACTGTCCTCCCACAACCGTTTTCTGGGTTGTCAATGGTAGTATGACTATATGAAACGTAGAATCCCAGAGTTTGAAAATGCCAAGGAACCTATGTAGACCCTACACATCATTTTCATCTGTCTAATGAAAGGTTCCAGAACTGATTGTACTTGTTAGGATAAATAATAGTCAACTTATTCACTATGAATTATACTGTTATCAGAATGACTTAGTTCCTCAACCTTTCAGCTACCATTCTTCATTAACACTACAATATCATGTTTTAAGTTTGTATTTGAAAAACTATTTTCTGATAGTACCATGTATTGTTACACATTTGATGTACCTTAAAATAACAAAGAACTCACCCTGAAATATAGAGGCCAAGAGTCTTCCTTCCTCTTGTCTTCAAAACTTTGTTTCTCTCTGGTCCCCAAACAGAGAGAAAGCCAAATTATCAAAAGTGTGTCCAAGTCTTCCTCTAGAAGCCCATTGATATTTTTGCATTATTATTTTTCTTATTAGCCAATATTTCATGAAAACAGTATTCTAGTATCATATAATATTAAAATGGGATTATAATATTATTCTCAGTATCTCCTCCCTACTGCAAAGTTAATACAGCACCCCAAACCCAGACATTCTAATATATACTGCATACTGATATGCAGATATATAAAGTTTGAAAAAATATCCTCAGAATTGAGATTTACTCTACAATAATATCAAATAAATAGATGATAGAGTTAATTTTACATTTTAAAAAGAAATCCTTTAAAATGTTGTATATACTACAAATATATTTTAAAAAATTATTCAATCAATACTCATTGAATATGTATTCTCTGTGAGGTAATTTATTATACTAAAATTTCCTTCATTCCATAAACAATAACTGGATTCTACTCTGAGCCAAACATCACACTAGATATTAAGTTTGTGCTTGATATTAGTGTCTTTCCCAAAATCCTTAATAATTCTCATGGAGCTTAGATTCTAGGGAAAGAGATAGGCAAATAAATATACAGATAAACATAGATTAGATTCATTATCTGAATCTAATCTGTTTCAGAAAAATGTGTTGAATAATGAGTGTTCAGAGAACAAGGACCTGTATTCCATATGTTTAATGGGCAATATAATAACACAATCTCATCCTATCCCAAAACCCCATAGTTCCCAAAAATACCACAGAGACACACTGAAACACTAATGCAACTATTCAGCAAATACTTCTGAGAAACACAAGGATTTAAATCACCAATGACCTAGTTATTAAACACATGATGAAACAAACCTTCAGTGGATATGTTTCTGCGCAGTACCTAACAAGACTATGCAGAATCAGATGCAAATTACATTTCCTTCTAGATTGCAAGGATCATTTACTTTAATGTGTAATTAAATACTATGTGAAAGAAGCTGATGAGCCTTTCTAAATTGAACCTGGGATGTCAATAACACAGGTCTAGTAAATAAAGGGCTAACCCTTGAGGGAAAAGAGTGAAGGAAATATTGGGAATACAGTAGCTTATGTTTACATCCTGCAAACAGGAAATGGGAGAGTAGCTGAGGTACTTCTGGAGAATATTCCCAATTTTCTTACACAAATTCACAAAAACATATGTATTTTTGATATCATACATAAAAATTTATATTAGCCTTCAGGTAATTAAGGTAAAAACAAAATTGTCCCCATTATATCAAATATTAGGTAGTCAAGGATATCTAAATGTAATTATGTGATTTCTTTGAGTTCTGTTGTTCTTGTTCAGTGGCATAGAGTTGGCTCTGCCTCTGACCTTTGGACAACAGAACAAGACACCGCCCGGTCCTGTGCCAGCTTCACAAGCTTGGCTGTGCTTGACCCACTGTTGTTGTCACTGTGTCAGTCCATCTCCTTGAGGGTCTTCCTTTTTTCTCTGATCCTCTACTTTACCAAGCATGACATCCTTCTCCAGGGAATGGTCCCTTCTAACATTATGACCAAAGTAGGTGAGGTGAAGTCTGGCCCTTCTCACTTCTGAGGAGCATTCCAGCTTTGCTTCTTCCAGGACAGATTTGTTCCTTCTTTGGGCAGTCTATGGTATTTTCAGTATTTTTCACCAGCAACACAATTCAAATACATCACTTCTTCTGTGGTCTTCCTTATTCATTGTCCAGCTTTTGCATGCAAATGAGGCTACTGAAAATACCAAAGCTTGGGTCAGCCAGAGCTTAGTTTTCAAAGTGACACCTTTGTTCTTAATACTTTAAAGATGTCTTTTGCAGAAGATTTGGGTGTATTGAGTTTTAGGGAAAAAGTGGTTTACTTGATAAGTAAGAAAATGCCAAGGAACCATGTGGTCTGGGAAGACCATTTTTGGGATATAATATTTAAACTGAAACATAAACACTGGAGTGAAGTAACAAGATCCTAGGCTGGAAAGAGTCAATTACTCTGCCTGAGAATGAAGCTTAGATTTCAAGGGAAATAAGAATATGAATTAAAAAGTCCCAGCGAGAGATGATTCTCTCCTGCTCTAAGATTGTGCCAGTGAGAATGGAGAGAAGCCAAAATGTTAAATATATATTTGGCATGGTGTCTGCCCTATAGCAGCTACAGTCTAGTTCTAGAATACAAGTTGAGGTATGAACTCACTCAGTAAATATGGTCTGTTAGTTGTTGTTGTTGTTAGGTGCCATTGAGTCAGCTCCGACTCATAGCAACCCTATATACAACAGATTGAAAGACTGCCCGATCCCATGCCAACCTTACAATCCTTGCGTGCTTGAGCCTATCATTGCAGCCACTGTGAAATGTCTCTCTCTTCAGTCCTCAGGTGGAAGATCGCGAGGGGACTATTCAGTTTGATGGAGAAGGTTATGCCTTGGTCAGCCGCCCAATTCGCTGGTTCCCCAACATCTCCACTGTCATGTTCAAGTTCAGGACATTTTCTTCAAATGCTCTCCTGATGTACCTTGCCACACGAGACTTGGTAAGTATATGCACAGCAACTCTTCCATGATTGAAAATGTGGTTTGCTTCTTTTTCCTTAAGATTCCAATTAAATCATCAGTTATTGTCCACAATACCACATATCGTTAGGAGTTTAGGTTGTCAGTGTGATAGTACAGTGTGAGCGTACACACAAAGTGCTTACATATTTTCATTAATAACAATTTAATTGCTATCTGTTTTCAATATAACTACCATATAATCCTTTAAGAGAAGCACCCAGTAAACATTTTTCCCAGTATGGAATCACACAGAAGCAAACGTACTGCCTTAGTCTTCTTCCAGAGACCTAAATTAAAAGAGGATTCTAAATATTTTTTTGCCTCACTTCTTTCCAGATAAATATTTATTTGTAAGTTCTTTCAGGAAACATGACTTTTGGTTTGCTTAGTATATTTTCAGAAAAAAACACTTCACCCTACTCTAATAAAAGGATCCCACCCACTCAGTCCATTTGGATCCAACTCATAGCATTCAGTTTCTGAAGTGGTATCTCTATGGAAGTAGATTGCCCAATCTTTCTTCTGAGGAGTGTCTGGTGGGTTTGAACCTCCAGCATTCTGGTTAGCAGTTAAATGCCTTAGGCTTGATGCCACCAGAGCTCCCAATAAAAGGATATATCCTAGTAATTTGGTTATGACTATTTACAGCATAACATCACACTCACGAAAATACACAATAATAGCAACACCAATTCTATTTCTAAAATGGATTTCTATTACAGGGCAACACATTTAATAAACTAGCCATAAATCCCTACTATAAACATCAAAGAAAAGCAAATACCCATATATTTCTCTGTGTATTTAATCACTGGTGTGGGTTTTTTTTTTTTTTTTTTTTACCCTATTAATAGAAAGATTTCATGAGTGTAGAGCTCACCGATGGGCACATAAAAGTCAGCTATGATCTGGGTTCAGGAATGGCTTCCGTTGTCAGCAATCAAAACCATAATGATGGGAAATGGAAATCATTCACCCTGTCAAGAATTCAAAAACAAGGTGAGTTTTTATAGTAATAGTGCAGCATGGGCCTTAATCATACTATCCAAAGCTCCTGTGTATCTAATCATGGGGAGGACCCTGTCTGTAATTTTAGGTACTCACAAGTTCTCTGAAAAATTGATATAGTCATTTTTTTTTGCTTAGATTATAGGTGGTGCGGGTTAGACATGACTGATTGAAGAGCCAAATGGTTCTCTGTCATTTTCGTTTGAAACTGAGAGCTTAATTTGAAAGCATAAAACTGTCTTACAACTTGTAATATTATATCCTGTAATAAATTAGAAACATGGTGTCTGCTTTTTTCTTTCTTTCCCTGTTTTGCCAAGATGTTTCTAAAGAACAGTCCAGTATTTGTAGGCGTGACAAAGCATGACTATATCTGTGCTGTCCTCCTTAAAAATCCACACTAGCAAATAATTGATTAATAATTTGCATTTTCATGATTCCTGGATGTTTTCAAAACATTTTCACATACATTTTCACAGACATTTCATTTGATCATATAAGCAGATATTTTATTCGGGTATTACATAAAGGGAAATTATGGACTCTAACTTATATATGGTTACAGAGAGATATAAGATCTCACAGCCAAGAAAGAAGCTCAAGTTTATTATTTTCTCATGCAGTGCTGTGTAGTATGACATTACTATATGTCATTCTGAGTAGAATGACATTACTTATATCTGCAAGTGAACTTTTTATGTTTCTGCTATTATAAATAGAATTAATTAATTATGACCATGCCAATGTGAAATTTCATAAAAATTTGATTTAATGTTTGTTTTGGTAGTCTAGTGCTGCTCTAACAGAAAATACCACAAATGAGTGGCTTTAACAAACAGGGATTTATTCTCTTACAGTTTTGGAGGCTAGAAGTCTGAGTTCAAAGTGTCAAGCTCTAGGGGCTGGGTGAAGGCCTCTTGCCCTTGGGGTTCAGCTCCGCCTCTTGCTCTCAGCCCACTGAAGTTAGAGGCTTCTCTTAACTCAGACTGCTGAGGCTGACAAACCCAAGGTTGACAAGCAAAATGGCACAGTCCCAAAATTATCAAACCACATGGCAGGGAACTAATTCAAGTCCATTAACAGCCCCAAGATTGACAGAAAACATGGCAGGCCATTGAGATGAAGACAGCCAAATGCAGGAGCCAGGGAGCCAAAAGCTCAAGCCTTTTCTCAAAGCATCTTCTTATATACTGGGAGCAGACCATATCCCTAAAACAGACACTCAGCTGCTCACAGTAGATTCCACCATGAAGCTGATTACCAGCTGTATCCAGCTGCCCAGCCACTCAAAACCAGACCCAGCCAAGCTGACACACAACTTAACTATCACAGTGTTGTACCATCTTTCATTCCTACATTTGACAAGTATTTGCTGGGCACCTAAGAAGTACCATATAAGAACTAAGTGAAGTCTAAGATAGGTCATTGCCTTCAAGGAACTTTCAGTCTAAGGTGAAAGAGAGACAAGTAAATCAATAGTTAGAGAGTAGAGAGCTGATTGCTTAAGAGTCACGCATTGCAGGCTATCAATCTCAGAAGAGAGAGTCAGACAAATACATCAGTCCTCAGGGGATTACTACTGAAGCACAAGCAATGGTTGATGGGCTAGCGAGATGAGAAGTACATTTGGATGTTTCAGCACAATGAAAGGTGTGAAAAACAAAAATCATGAAGGCATCAGAGAGCATAATACATGATTTTCCAATTGTTTTTATTGGAAATGACACTGTGGAGAAACTCCTCAGTGGGGATACACACTGGTTTTACAAGTCCATAAACTGGAGGACTGTTGGATACCTTATCCCCCTGTAAGTGAGGCACAAAACACAACTGTGTGTGAGAGACTGTATAGAAGCTCAGTATGAAGAATATCGTTAACTCTGTTTGATCAGCATCTCTCAGCATTCTTTGATCACAGAATCCTTCCATTCCTACACTACTAACATTATACTGAACCCAGTTTGTTTTTGTTATTGTTAGCTGCTGTGGGGTCTTCCCTAGACTGGCAACCTCATGCACAAGAAGAAACTTTAGGAAATCCTTTAGTAAGTACAAGTAAATCCATAGACAAAAAGGGTTAATGTTAGAAAAAAATTATCAAGAGATAAGACTAGAGAACAGAGTCAGTTCATAAAGGGCCTTATGCACTAAGCTAATGCATTTCAGTTTCATCCCAAAATCTATAGAGATCTGCTGAAGATTATTATTAAGGTTGTGACAACATCAGATTTGTGCTTTAGTAAAGTTTCTTTAGCAGCAATTTGGAGGATAGATTTGTGACAGGATGCAAATGCAGTAAGCCAAGTTCTTTTTGCAGGTATAAATCAAACAGTCCACGAATTCAGAAATCTCTTGCATAAATTGATCTGATGGTCTGATTTTTCCAAGGCTTTGCTGTAGCTTCATAACTTCTCCATGACCCAGAAGTTGGAAAGAACTTTCCTTTATCTTACTCTTTTCACAATCTTCTTCCCTATTCATATTCTCTTGTTCGTATTCTCTTGTTCAATCCCTTTTATACCATTGGCAGATTTTTTTTTCCTTAAGTTTTCTCCCTGACCTTCAAACAGATCTGGACTCACATGTTGCTTTTTCTCTACCTGAATAACCCTGCTGAGTGCACCAACCAGTCATTCTCACTTTAATTTGGGGTTTTAATGACATGATTCATCCTCTTTACTTCTCTCAAGTGTCTTTATAGTATTTTAATTTAAAAATCACATTTAAGCCTTTGGGGTTCAATTGTCAGGTACATTAACCCTTAAAGTGATATGGGACTATCTTGGTTGCTAGTGCTGCTATAACAGACATGCCATAAATGGAAGCCTTCACAAACAGGAATTTATTCTCTTACAGTTTAGGAGGCTATAAGTCTGAATTCAGAATGCCAGCTCTAGGGTCAGGGTAAAGGTCCCTTGACCTTAGGCTTCAGTTCTGCCTCCAGTTGCGGGCCCATAGGTGCTGGAGGCTTCTCATAACTCATGTAGCTGCTGGCTGCTTGGGGTGACAAACCCAAGGTCAGCAAGTGAAATGGCACAATCTCAAGATCAACAGGCAACAACAGAGCAGATGCCTGGTTCAAGTCTGAGAACTAGAGATGAAGACTCAGCCAAGTGCAGCATCCAATATGCGCCAAAGAGCTAGAGACCTTTCTCAAAGCTTCTCCTTACATATTGGAAGCAGGCCACACCCCAAAGGTAACTACTTAACTACTCACAGCAGATTCCACCATGGAGGTGATTACAATCTCATCATGGGAAATAACTACATCCAGCTGTCCAGCCACTCAAAAGCACAGCCCAGACAAGATACACACAACTTTAACAAGCACAAGGATACTTTCCATTCTCCTTCCCATGGTTGTGCCCACTCTCAGTGATCTATCATGTTTCAACACCAACTTCTCAAATCCAATAGACAAAAAGTTTTATTAATTTATTTATTCATTCTCTGGAGCTATGTGTTATTATATATTCTCTATATTTGCTTAGCTACTTTTAAAGAATTGTATTATTCTAGTGGGTCAACTAACAATTAGCTGGAACAATAAACAACACACAGAGAAAATGATGAAGCTGTCAAGGATTTCATTTTCCTTGGATCCACAATCAATGACCACGGAAGAAGAATTCAAATAATAAAAGTATGTATTGCTTTGGCAAATCTGCTCCAAAAGACTTCTTTAAAGTATTAAAAAGCACAGATGTCACTTTGGGGATAATGAGCACCTGACTCAAGCCACTATATTTTTAATTTCCTCAAGGGCATGAGAAAGGTGGGAAATGAATAAGGAAAACCAAAGAAAAATTGATGCATTTGAATTATGGTGTTAATGAAGAATATTGAATAAACAAACCATGGACTGCCAGAAGAATGAACAAATCTGTCTGGGAAGAAATACAACCAGAATGGTCCTCAGCAGCGAGCAAGGATGACAAGACTTTGTCTCACATACTTTGACATGTTATCAGGAGGGACCAGTCCCCGGAGAAGAACATCATGGCTGGTAAAGTAGGAGGGTAGCAGAAAAGAGGAAAACCCTCAAAGAGATGCAATAGAATGACACAGTGGCTGCAACAATGGGCTCAAGCATAGAAACAATTGTGAGGATGGCACAGAACTAGGCAGTCTTTCTTTCTGTTGTACAAAGGGTTGCTGTGAGTCAGAATCCACTTGAAGGCATCTAAAAATAACAATTTTTGCATTAAAAAGAAAATCTTGGAAGTCATAATAGAAAAGAAAGTAAAGGTTATAAAAATATAATTCATGAAATAAAAACAATTGCAGGTTTCTAAGGCAGGAAGCCGGAAAGCCAGGGCCGAGAGCAGCCAGATCCAGGTAAGGGAAAGGAGAGGGAGAGAGCCCACATCCAAGACAGGAAGCTAGAAGCCAGGGCCAACGGTGGCTGGATCAAGGTACGGGGAGGTCAGACATGTTTGGAACAGCTAAGGGAGATGAACTTGTCTGTTATTTTGTCTTACTGTGGTGGCTTGCATGTTGCTGTGAGGTTGGGGGCTGTGCCACAGGTGTTTTACTGGAGCTTCCAGACTGAGACAGACATGGAAGAAGGAAGAAGCCATCCACATCTCAAAGTATTGGCCAGGGAAAACGTTATGAATAGCAGAGAAACACTGTCTGGTACATTACTGGACAATTTTATGAATAGCTCTGAAACATTGTCTGATACAATGCTAGAAAATGAGCTCCTAAACTCGGAAGGCACTCAAAATATAACTGGGAAAAGGCTGCCTCATCAGAGTACAACTGACCTTAATTATATGGATAAAATAAAGCTTTTGGGACCTCCATTTGCTGATGTGGCACAACTGAAACTGAGGAGAAACAGCTGCAAACATCCAGTAATAATCAGAACATGGAATGTAAGAAATATGAATATAGGAAAATTGGAAATTGTCAAAAATGAAATGGAATGCATAAAGATTGATATCCTAGTCATTAGTAAGCTGAAATGGACTAGTCTTGGTCATTTT